TAACATTTAAATAAATTGATGGTTGGATTGATTTATGGTAGGATTTATGTTGTCTTTTGTTTAGCATTTTTTAATAATTGAGGCTGGCGCACAATAACAGTGGCACACAGAATTCTAATTTTATATAAGAAATGACTTGGGAGTTATGTGGTATTTTAGCTTTAGAAACTAAGGAAAATATTGTTTTGCAGTGATTGATAAAATTCTAAATTTACTAAGCTTTAATAACTAATTTTTTCTTGCTTTTAAAGAGGATTGTCTTTAGTAAGAGGTTGGAAAACAAAAATCCAAAAATTACTCCCTTTTCTGAATATTGAGTCTCAATGGTGACAGTATAATGACAAATATTTTTCCTATTAGGGATGTTATTGAAAAGCTATTCTCTGATGCCATTGAACAAAGAAAAGAAGATATTCAACAGAACAGTGATGTAGCACGCAGCTTAGCAACTTTCCAAAAGCATGGGAACGACCAGATGCCTACAGTTCCAAACACAGGAAGAATTAATCCTCGAGGAGGGTTCTTCTCAGGTGTTCTGACAGCTTTAACTTGTGTAGCAGTAAGTTTCATCTGCTTGGTTTTCCCTGGTTGGGCTGAGTAAGTAAAGTTGCCTTCAGAGCTGTCTGTCAGGAACTACAACTGCAGTGTACAGCAAATGGAAGTCAGTGGGTAAAATTTCAAAATACTTTCTTAGAACCTGAATGTTCTAGTCTCCATGAAATGGAAGATTCTATGTGTCAAACCTCTTACTGTGTGTTTATTTATATAATTCATGTATTTGCTTTGCAAGTAAAGGATCTTTATTTATCTTTGTAATCTACCTGTAGGTAGTTCTACTTGGCTATCACTGGAGTAGCAGAGAATTTGAAGATGACCATCTTGTCCACAAGCCTGTTGCTAAGTGGACTGCTGAGGAAGTGATACTCTGGCTGGAGCAGCTGGGCCCATGGGCTTCACATTACAAAGAAAGATTTTTACTGGAGAAAGTAAATGGAAGGTGAGAGGCCTTGTGGTCAAGGACAGCTGCTATGTGATTGGACTAATGACAGATTCATTAGGGGTGGCTTGTTGTGAAATGACTGCACTGTGTTACATAGATTGTGGGAATATTCTGTTGATGTGTCAGAATAAATTTCAGAAGAAGTTTTAACAATTGCTGTTGAAAACTTTCAGTAGTAGATACTCAGTAAGCTACTGAAAATTTTCTAAGAACTTTTTAAAATGCTGACAATGCAGACTGAAATGATACCAAGAGTAAAATTCTACTAATGTATTATCCACCCTTGCACCTTTCATTCCTTGTGGAAATACGCATGTGCTATATGCATATGTATTCCACCCAAGAGCCATGCTGAAAGCAGGCAAGAGGAAGCTGGAAAAGAAGGAAATTTAAAACCCAGGCTCTGAGATGCAGTTGGCGTAGAACACTTGATATGCAATGTAATGATGATCTTTTAAAGTCCCAAAGTTTGCCAACCCAAAGTATTCTATGATTCTTTAACCCAAAAGGTGCTACCTTGTATCAGTAGCTTATTTTTCAGTATGCAGTTGTGTATTTGTTAGTCATCTTTTTTGGTGAGTCGGCACTGCTCACCTTAATTCTTCTGCTTTCGTAGACTCCTCCTAACACTGACTGAAGAGGATTTCACCAAAGAGCCTTACAGTATAGAGAACAGTAACCACAGGAGAGCTATTATGGCAGAACTGGAATGTGTGAAAACTTTAGGTGTTAAACCACCACAGAACCTTTGGGAATATAAGGTAAATTTTATATAAAGTGTGTCATGTCATACATATTAATTATTTTTAAAGTAATACCTTTAAAAGAAGATTCTCTTAAAACCAGGAGGAGTGTTAAAGGAGTAGAATTACCTGTGTAAAAACTGCTCAGTTTAATGACCTGTTGTATTTGAAGAACAAACCTTTGAGAAATGTCACAAAATCTAAGAAGTGGCATGTCCCCTTCATTTTACTTTTTTACTGATTGAAACTTAATAATTTGATACCTTTTAGGCCGTAAACCCAGGAAAATCACTCTTTCTTCTGTATGCACTGAAGAATTCTCCAAGACTCAGTATGTTATACCTATATTTGTTTGATTATGCAGAAGCTTTCCTACCTTTCATCCACACAATTTGTCCTATGCAAGAAGACAAGTATGAAGATACTGTCACAAAACTACTTGTAAGTATTCAAAACATTAAATGTTTGCTTTAGTTATAAGCGTTTTAAGACTAGCAGCATAAAACCACATCATGTAATTATTCATCATTTCATCTCTTTACACTATGGCTTTAAAAACAACAGACCTGCAGAGTAAGTGGTTCTTTGATTTTATTGTATGCAATCACCAGTGTTGCAACCATTACCTTTAATAGGATTGATTTTAGCTTTTAAGACTTTAAATGTGTGAAACTGATTCTTCTGAAGTTCACGTAACTATAGAAAATGATGTTCTAATCTAATGGAAATTACTGGATTACAGTATTACCTACTAGCAAGTATAATAAAGATAAATTACTGCTTTCAGTGTATAAAACCCCCAGCTTTTCAACAAAAGACTGGTGGAAATAAGCCAGTATTAAGTAAGTTTAATAGAAAATTGATTAACAGTCTTTTTATCCTAATTTACAGGACCTTAAAGATCCTTCTTGGAGGCAATGGAGAGAATTCACTGTAAAGTATTTATTTTTGCCATACCAGCTGATAGCTGAATTTGCTTGGGATTGGCTAGATGTGCATTACTGGACATCAAGATTTATAATTGTAAATGCCATGTTGCTGTCTGTTCTGGAATTATTCTCTTTTTGGAGGCTGTGGTCAAGAAGAGAACTGAAGTAAGTCTTACAAAGCTTGTGGAAGAGGGTAGGAAGTACACGGCCTTATAAAGAGAGAGTAACAGCCTTACAATTTCACAGTTGCTCACTGAAATGAGTGTCTAACCCAAGCCCTGAGGTTAAGAACATGCCAGTCTGCATTCCCACATATGCTACTGCTTGCTCTTGAATACCTTTATTTCTGTGCACGCTTCCAAGGGTTTCTTAGAGATAGTTTTACTTATCAGATGTAGCAAATGTGGAAACAGCAACAAGCATGTTCTTAACCACTGGGAGATATTAAACCTTACCTTGAGAACTGCCTCTTATGGTGCCTGGTATTAGCTGTCAGCTGAGAACTAAATACATCAGAATGTAGCCATGATACAGTGTAGTTATTTTGGGATGAGTCCTCAGAATCGTAAATAAGTTCAGTTATACTGATACTAGTTCTGATAATATATAAATTTCTGTTTTCCGTTACTACCTCAGTCTTAACGCAAGCATATTAACATTTGTAGTTGGTGTGATCTTTGGAAATGGTACGGGAGAAATTCTGGTTTTGGTGTGTGCTGTGTTGTCCCTTTGCCAGCCGACAGAGGGCAGAACGTGCCCAGAACAGCACAGGGAGCAGGGCACAGCCTGGGGCAGGGCTGTGCTGTGGCACTGGAACTGCGGGTCTGAGTGCACTGACAGAGTGCTTCCTCTTTAAATCTGCTACTACTGCGTTTTAGGAAAGTTTTTCGTGGAGTGTAAAATGATGTTTTCTACAGGTACCCGAGTAAGGGCTAAGTAGTGCAAAGCTGCAGCACCTATTAGGATTTCTTAGAGCTGGGTAAGAACAAACCAGAAAGTTCCTCTAAGTCTTTCCCTTTCCTTTTTCACAGGACTATTCCTCACAGAATGTGGAGACATTTCTGGAAAGTCTCAACCCAGGGACTTTTTGTTGCCATTTTTTGGCCTTTTATTCCTCAGTTTGTCTGCAATTGTTTGTTTTACTGGGCCTTGTATTTTAACCCAGTTATAAACATTGATCTTGTAGTTACAGAGATAAGGCGTCTGGAGACACAAGTGCAGTGACTGGCATTGGAACTCTTGAGCTGTTTAGCTTCTAAAAATGGACATTTTAAATAAACTTTGCTTGTCTTCTTTATGTATGTGGCAGTGAAAATGGTGGATTATGTTAATTTAAACATACAAAAAAGCTTTAAGATAAGTTGCTCTTAAACCAGCTGATTCCAAATTGAAGGATGAAGGAAAAAGGAATTTTCCATTGGGAAAAAAAAAAGCACATTCCTGTATAGCCATGTAAAACTCATACAGTCATCTCTCCCTATTTGTATCAGATAAATTTCTTTATTCTGTCCTGAGCATTCTGTGTATTTTCAAGCCTGCCTTAAAGTCAGTGTCTTCTGCACTGCTACAGTGATTTCTTTCTTTTTCTTTTTAAACTTAACATTTCATACCAGCAATGTGTTCCTCAACTTCAGTTTGCCAAAGGAATGCCCTTCCTGGATAGGCTTGATGTTGAAAGAACTTCATTTATTTCAGTCTTTTACATGTAGCATTGTGACTGCCTTATACACAGTCTCACAGTAGAGTTTGCTCCAAAATTCCTGCAGTTGAAGGCAAAGACTACTTGAATTTTCTTGTGTCTTGGAAAATGTGATAATTACCATTGAAATTTTTTATTCAACTCAGTCAGACTTCATTAACAGCTCCTTTCATTCTCTCTTCTTAAATTCTGTTGCAAATTCTTAAATATCTCTTAAAAAGGATTATTTTGGAAAAGTGACCTGACACTGTAATTATGGCAATATAATGTGTGTATCTATGTGAGCAAATATTGACTGGAAAGTTATTTGTGTAAGTAGGATTGACATTTCTTAATGTATGTTCCTTTGACTGAATCAAAAGGTAATCAACAGATTTTTTTCAAGAACTTTGTCCCCTTGCAGTCTGCATTGGTTTGTTGTTTTGTTTATTTCATTTGTGTCAGTAATGTGATCTAAATTTGCCTATGAGTATTTTTCACGATTAAAGATCTCTCTTGAAATCTTCACTGTTCCTATAGAGAATTTGGGGGTTTGATTTTTATGTTTTTTAATACTGAAGTACATGTCATTAGCTTTGACTTGTGCAAACCTGTTCTTTAGCCATGCATCTCTGAGTAAGTTGAGGTGGGTGAAAGCAGACATGAAACACTTCTATAAGTGTTGAAATCAGCAGATACAAAAAAGTGTATTATTCATCAGTTCAGGGTACTGATTTCTCTTCCCAAAGGATGACAAATATCTGTGAAATTACCCTATCTTTACATCCTGATGAGGTGTATACACTTCTGAGCTTCATAAACTGTTGCTATGCAGGATCATAACTTGTGGGAAAGCCAGTTGGTCCCAACAAGTTCTAAATTTTTTTCATGTTTTGTTTTGGTGATGGTTTGCATTTGCATTTTTAAATCTGACTCTAAAATTCTAAGAGTAGAATTCCTCCCTGTGCTTGCAGGGAATTCAGGGTGTACATAGAGTAAGGAGTCTGAGCCTTATAAAATAAACAGCTGTTTAGAAAACTCTACTTAAAAAGTAAATTCTAGAAAAAACCTGATTAAATGATTCTTCAATGCAGGTAGCATTACTCCAGGTGAATGAAATTCAGCACTTAAATTAGGCTTTGTAGTAAGTGTTTAATGTAGATGAGAGGGCTCTTTGTGCTGACACTGTCACTTCATGAATGTTTTCCAGCCAGTTCAAAGTTAACAAATGCTAAGATTTGTTAGTGGAGAAGTTTGATTTGTATCTTCTAGCCAGTGGAGGGGGGGTAAGTTCGCAGCGAATGATATTATCAATCTGAAAAATCTGTGAATCTGAATATAAACAAAAATTAACATTGTCAGTTACTCCTTAAGCAGATAAATTCAGATTTCTATTTAGTCAATAATAAGTGCATGGGAGAAAGTAAATAACAGGAAAAATGTTTACTTTGGCCATTTTGAGGTGGAGAGGCTGAGGTGGAATGAAGGAGTATCAAGAAAGGGGAAAAATAATTTCTTGTCATTACTGTGGCCAAAAAAAGTAATTTTAGATTTAAATATATACAAGAGTCATGTATCTAATACCTGCACAAAGGCTGAATCTCACCACACATAAAGTCTGGCCACAAAAGGTATTTTCTATGGTAGGGAGCTTTAGAAAAACATTTGGCAGCTTCACGGTCACATTCACATGCCATTTTTTGACATGTATCTTCTAGTGAGTCTGAAAGAAAACACAGTAAGTTTGATATTAGTCTGAAGAAATTAAAAATCCCCAGTGGACTTTTACCAAGAATTGCTCCCTCATGTTCCCTATTTGCAGTACAAATGCTTACATTTCAAGTGCAATAGGAACTGCACTGAGCTTTGGTCAGACTGAGAACCTGTGGCTCAGTCAGTAATCACTGACAGGTGAAAATACAACAGCCGGATAAAGACTTAAATACTCTTCCAGTTTTTTAATAAAGGAACTCTGATAACTGATCTCTGCTTAGAAAGTGGCATGGGACCCTCCCTGCTTCCCCTCTTGCTCTAGTGAAACTTGATTTTGGGAAGATATTCCATTCACATACCCTTTATAATCTACTATAGCATATAGCATTAAAAATGATATATGGGATATATACATGGCATGTAAAGGTATTCCATGTCCAGCCTAAACTGCCCACCTTTTTTTATTAAGGCATGCAGTGAGAAGTTAGGTAAAGTGTGTTTGTGTGACAAATCCATGTCTTGTCATGTTTGTTTTATAATTGTAGTGTTGTAACGGAACAGATTTCTTGGCATGAGTGTTTCTTCTTGGCATGAACATTTTCTTCTACAGCCACGTATTTTGGGTTCAGTGTGCCAACCCAGAAGTGTGTGGTTTTTTTCTCTCTGTAACTGTCTGTAAACTGAAGAATCCTTGATTACATTTTGTCTGAGTGTTTACCATTTTAAAAGCTTAGCCAAATGACTGCTTGAGATTTGTCCAGGAGCAGAACAAGTGTTCAGTTTTGTGAATGAAAATTCAAATTCTGCCATGAAATGGAAGCGTTCTTAATGTATATGTGTTTATGCTGCAGCTAGCTGCCCTAAGAGCTACTCAATAGCACAGGTGGCATGAACAACATGACAGGATAAAAAATGAAAACTGAGAACTATTGCTTCTTCTGTTCTTCTCCTGGTATTGCTCCAGACTTTATCTTCTCCATGCTATGCCAGGGACTTGGTTTCCTGACACCATGCCTGATATCTTGGCCAGTATTTTGAATATTGTCAGGAGCAAAATCTTTACAGCCAAATAAGGGTGGACTGTAATGTCATTAATTAGTGTGAGAGAGAAGATGTTTTGTCCATCTGGGGCAGGGAAAGATGTGAGTAAGTAGAGATTCTGAATGAATTTTTTACTTGGGCAAAGTAAAAATTGAATGTGAAGGAGGAAAGGAAGTAATGTCCAAACTTTCATTTGTTTTCAGGTCAGGCAAATTCTAAATTGAATATGAAATGAGAGGTTTTTGTGTTCTCTGTAAATGGCCAACTGTTGCCTTTAAACCGTGGTAGTCAGAAACTCAGACTTGTTTTAAACAAGTTTATGTAAGGGTTTTTGCATTTCTGTAGTGCACATAATAACCAATTTTCAAGCTCATTTGCATTCTAGGTAGAAGTATAAAATTATATGCAAATTAACTGACAAAGCACCTCATTTTAAAAACAAAACAAGCAAATAAAATCCCAAACAACACACAAAAAACCAATAAAAGCGTGACAACAACAAGAAGAAAAACCTTGTAAATATTGGGGGCTTGTGCCAAGCTACAGTTTCAACGAGTCTTTCAGTATATCAGACAGCATTTGCTAAAACTTTGGAAGTCATGAACAAATAATGTAAAAGAAAAGCTGCATTTTCCTGTTAACCATTTTTTGGGGCTTTTCTTTCTTTGTGATCTCTTTGTCCTTCCCTTAGCATGGCAAGGATATTTTGGAGCAATCAAAAAAAAATTATCAGGATGTGGTCAGCAATCTGTTGCAGTTTGTACACTTGAGTTATGTAAATATTTTCAAATTAATATTTGTTAATTTAACTTCCAGAAATAAACTCATCAAATATTTTATTACCTCATTGTTTGAAACTATAACCCATAATTAAGAATTCATTCATAAATTGCAGCCATCAGTGCAACTGATCAGGGATAAATGTGCCAAAAACATGTCCCTTATAAACTTACAAATTGTGGGAAATATTTTCTTCTAAGTAGGGAAAACCTCCTTTTTAAACTGTTAAAATTTTCTTGTCTCCTATTGGTACTTGCTCTCCAGGTGGAGACTTGCAGGGAGTAGCATAACGTGTTCCTCAGCAAATGTAAAAGGATGGTTGTGGTTGTGCTTTCTAAAAAGGTAATAGATGCTTCTAGCTCACAGTTTTGTTTGCTTATGTCAGAGGGAGGATTAAGAAAAAGAAACTGCATTCAGTTGATTGGTTTAGCTGTGCTTTCTGGAGGCACAGTGTATCCTGGCAAAAAAAACATCACAAAAGGAAGGTAAACTAAGAATATTACAGTTAATGAAGAAAATACCTTTCTAATGAGATAATTAGTAGAATTAAGAAACAACCAAACCAAACAAATAACCCAACACCAAAAAACTTCCAAGTGCTCACTCACCACACACAGCGGAATTGTCTTTGCATTCCCAGTGGTAACTTTCAGTCTTTGGCTGACAACCTGCTTGTTCTGCCCTCCCATAGCAGCAGTCGTGGTGAAAGCAGCACCTGAGAGGAACAGAGATGGTGATTTATGGTCACACACTCTGGGTGGGCTTTATCAGTGGGTTACTACAGCTGTGGAATAATGAAACAGTCAACATCAGTGAGTGTACAAACATTACCTGCTCAGGAACCAAACCAGGGTAATGGAAAAATTTACTATTTTTTCATGTAATAAATGATGAGAAAAATGTCTGATATACATTGAGCTAATTGAATCTTCAGAGCATTCTCTGTTATATGTGAGTATGCTTTTCTCCTAGCCCCTTCCACAAAATGAAGCTCATTATCAGAAAATTTGGAAAGTTGCTCAAAATTATTATTTCAAAATTGTTCTTGTCATAATTGGCACAAAGAATTTTTAGGCTTTCTCTATGACATTGTGAAACTGAACAGTACAGGTAAGAATTAATGGCATTTTAATGCTTAAAAAAGGCATTAAAATATACTGGTGTAGTGTCTCTGGTGTGGAGTCATTGCAAGCCCAGAAAAGCAAGGAGAGGAGGTAACAAGGACCTGAAATTAGGCAGCTTGTAAGTTTTTGCTGCAAACTAATTACATCCTTTCTTTTTGACTTGCTGGAAGAACTGGGTGTATCCACAAAGAATTCATTCATTCATTCATTCATTCATTCATTCAGTTTCCTCCTGGCAGACTAAAACCATCAGATTACAGTAGGTAGATGTTGTTTAGGTTGCCTGAGGAACTTGTGTCTGCAATAGGAAGAGTTAATGCTGTGAGCTCTCACTTTGCAATTATTGTTTTTCCCGTGCTTATTAAGTAATTACTTGGTCATTCCCCACAAATCATTGTGTAAAGATCCTGTGGTACATAACAGTTGAACAACACAGCTCAGTAACTCCTTTTCATGCATAGAAATTTTTAAAAACCCCAAACTGTGCAACAACAAAACAAAACCAAAACGAAACCCCAAATCATCTTCTTGTCAGTTAATGTTCAGTTATAAGTTACATTGATGATATCAGTATGCTGTGATTTAGTACTAAATGGGAAGGTTTGGGTTTTAGAATTATTTTTCAGCAGGTTGAATTTTGCATAATTCTTATATATTATTTTGAATACTAATGACATGGAAGATAGTAAAATCAAAATATTTACTACTGTCTTTATTTTTTTTAATTTTTACTTTAGATAGCTTCAATGTTTGAACTTTAAAGCTTCTCCAACAAAACTTTAGTTATTTAGCTCTTTGCTGAAACACAACAGCAAAGATTCAGTTGTACTGTGAATCCTGTACTAATGCAATGAGAATTTGAATTCAAGGCAAGATTGTGTAGATCTACAGCAACACATTTTGAATGCCTCAGAGTTTCTTAGCAATCTGAGCTGTATTTAAACTCAGTTCCCTCTCTCAAACAGGCCAAATTTATATTTTAGTCCTTTTATTTGTCATCTGCATTCAGTACTTAATTATTCAGATAAATAGCTGCTCTCACCAGTCTACTCTGTCCTTGGGCCATCCTTTTCCTCCCAGGCCACAGTAGCATCCGTAGCGCAGGTAGGCAAAGGGAGAGCGCCCTGTGGTGCATCTGATGGCTCCAGCCAATTCCAGAATTCCTCTTCGATTTCTCAAATGGGCTTCCCCAAAAGTGCCTTTATAAACTGTGGAAGAAAAACTATTATTGAATCCAACATGCAACTATAAAATAGTTGGGATTGTTTGGGTTTTTTAAAGTATTGATAATAAATTACAGTACTTGAAAATAATCCAGTTTTATTTTTGGCACTTTGGGGCCATGCTGCCTGACCCAGTCCCTTTGTCCCCAGTCCAGAGTGAGCAGAATACTGAACCCTGAGAACAGCTGCAGTGGTTTTCTCCCATGGAGGCAGTGTTCAATGGCAGACCAGTCATTTCCAGTCTTCCAGCTGGTGAGGGCCAGCATGTGTTGTGTGGCCCAGGCCCACCCAGTTGCTAAGATTAGCTGCCTCAGGGTTGTGGTGTTTTCTCTTTAACATAACGTGCAATTTTGCCCATATTATTTTGTAGGATGTAGTGCTTTACATTGGAAGAAAAAGGTCCTTTATGATAGGGTTTTTGTTTTCCTGATTTTTAGACAAAGCAGCCAAATTACTGGTGGGGATGGTGTGGTGGATGTAAGGAAGGGAAATGAATGGGTGCTTGGAGTTTTTCCAGGGAAATTAGAAAAGTAGGGTTTTGTTATTTTCCTGTTTATTTTTGTTTGGGGTTGTTGTTGTTGAAGTGATTTTCACTATTATTTCTCCAGAACAAAATTTACTTTAGGAACTATGATTATGCAGTTTTTATATAATCTAAATAAGCACATAATCTATTATAATAGCATAATAGAGTAACCTTTTGTAATAGATTATATCATAATAGATTATATGATTAACTATAATCAGTTAATGGAAAATCTGACAGAAAAAATACCAGTCCCAGCACAGTTGAGTAACTTGAAATGTGTGGGATGCTGGTGACCTCTGGCACTTGTAATGTCATGAAACAGTGGAATTTAAACACCTCATGAAATCACCTCAGTAAGAAATTCAATTGGTTTGTGAGTGAGAATGGTAAAAAAAAACACTTCAGGAAGAATCCTGAGGCAGCATCACTTTCCTGACTGGTGACCACTCCCAGATCTTGTCTCTCCTGGTTTTTGAGCATGTGAGCTGGGGGCAGAAGTGTTGAAACAAGGGTGTTTAAACTTGCACATACAGCTTTAGCCATTGATTTAAAGCAGTCATATCCTGAGGAATTAAGAAAAGCTTCCTTGCTATGTAGTCGATTGCAGTTTCATTTCAAAACTGCTGAGTTAGCCCTAAATTTCCTTGCTAAGACAGTGAACAGTATCTGTTGTGCATGGCTTCTGTTCCAGAACATTACCTGTATGTTTAGTGTGAAATTTTGGTTCTGGGTAGCAGAAGCATCCTTTTGGTTATAAACAAATTCATTTTATGATAGCATTGAGAGCTTTATCTTCATTGTCAGTACAAGTTCAGTAAATTCTGAGCTGAAAACCCTGCAATAAGGCTGCAGCATTACAAGTGAAAACTGGTTATGCTCTTAGTCAGTAATGGTTACTCTTGTAGACAGCCAGTAATGTCTGGAGGATCCATGGTTAATGGCAAAGCTGTGTTTGCTCTGCATGACCTTGGGGATTCTGAAAAAAGTGAAGATTTTTACATTGTGTCTCAGTTCCTGGTAACTGGGGAAGGATGGTGTAGGAGAGATACAAGTCAGGAAGAAGAAAGGAAGAATTTCCAAATCATGTTCCTGGTTTCATCTGAGAATTGTTTGCTAACTTGGGACAATTCCCAGTCCCATGATTTAAATCCATGACAAGTAGAAGTGATGAACTCTCTGATGAACTCTCTGACCTGAGGAGCTCAAGTATAATATGCCATGTGTCTTAAAGAAAAGAACGTAAACTTTTTGTCCTTGTAATATATTTGTGTTACAGCATCTGGACATCCAGTTGTAAACTGCATGGCATAGATACTCTCAATATGATACTCTGTCACAACAGCTTTATGAGCTGAGTTAATAAAAGCAATGAAATACCATCTGAGAATGCACAGAGCTATGGAAACAGAGTATCAATATGATGATGATAGTATATGCTGTTTTGTGGGTTTAAAAAGAATTTTTAAGCTGTTCTTTTAAAGACTAAGGGTACAGAAACATTTTTTTTTTAATGGTAAATATGTGTAAAATTTCCTTTAGGGATATCTCTATGCAGTCATAAGGCTCCAGTAATTCAGAACTTGAAACTTGGGAATATGCAGACTTTCTGATGCATTTCCAAAATCTTACAAAAAATAACTGTATGCCTTACAGAAACCTTAGTTTTTGCTTAGCTTTTTACCTCTTGTTTTATAAGCCATCAGGAATGGCCTTTTTCACCTCACTTTATTGCCCAGACAACTTACATGCTATCTCCACAAACTCTGGTCACATGTAAATTTTCTGAAAGGTTAAATTTGCCTGTTTTGATACTTTGGACCAGTTGGGAAACAGGTAAATTGCATTTCCCGTGCTCCTCACTGCCCACGGAGTGGGTGACTGAGGTGCCTGACTCAGAGCAATCAGAGCGCAGCCAGGCTCTCTGTAATGAGCACTCCAAGCTGGCAGAAACAGTGATTTCATTGGTTTCCTTAATGTTCTTCGGAGGTTTGTCCCATGCAAAGGATGAAGTCTGGAGGATGATCAAAATGCAGAAGGAATCAAAGGGCAATATGAGGTCAGGAGGTAGAATTGGGCCAGGGAGCTTGGGGGGCCCTAAGTTGGCCCCATTATTAAGCACCTTACCTTATGGGCTTTAATCACAGGACTGCCTTCCCCCAGACCCTGCTCCATTCTGTGCCCAGAATCTGTTCTAGGAATTAATTGAGGCTCTTTTCTTTAGGATCCTGCTATTTGCAAGATTTGCTAACTGTGTAGGAATGTATGAAAAAAACTGCAAGAGAATCTTTTACTTAAGGCAGCTGATTGCTATTCTGGAAGATAGGATTTTATCCTTGCAGCTGTCACAAAGGTTCAGCATGAGGTTAATTTAATCACTTTAAAGCAATGCCTATTGATGTTTACAAATAGTAGGCTCCCAACCTGCTGAATATGCTGAGGTTGGAGTACCAAGCTACCACAGCACTCAGCAGAACCAGGATTTGATTAGTTGGAGTTCCACATAATTTTGTGTAGTTGTAAGTTAAGTTGGGTTCTACCATGTCACCATGGGAACCTAAAATTAGAGGATGCTTTTTTGTGTCAGCCCACATACATATCTGAAAAAGAGGGACGATATTATAGTTTCGGAGAAATTAGTACAATCAGATACTGTACTGATGAATACCTCAGAAAACCTACGAGGAAATGGACTGTGAATTGTTCCAACCAGTCTTTAACACTGATTAATAAATAGGATGTAGGAGAGAAAAAAAAATTAAATATTTGCAAAGTGACTAATTGGCTGTGTGAAGGTGTGAGGCAGGGGTCCTTTAATTACATTCTCACATCATAACTTATTCATGAAGACTGATTCATTTTTCAGAATAACCCAATTAGGGTTTTGTAGGCGATCTCAGTCCTAGCAATTCCTGCTTCTGAACTGCTTAGTAACTCTGCTCCGTGACAGCTCACTCCAATACCCAGAGAAGAGCGGGGTAAAGTTCCTGCCTTTATAGAAAGATTGGTATTGCACGTGCAAGCTGCAAACCGATTTCAAACACGGAACTTCATTAGCGGAGTTGAACATTACTGATGAACTTTACAGAAGTAATGTGCACCCCTGCAGCCCTGCTGCCATGTGCAGGTGCGGTCCGAGCACCGGCCGCGCTGTCGGTGCCGCTCCAGCCGCCGCTGGCAGCGGCAAATCGGGGGTTCCCTTGGGCGAGTCCCACCCAGCTGTGCCCGAGCGCTGGCCACCTGTCACAGGGACTGCTCTCCGTGGGAACACAGGCACCTCCCGTGAGGTGAGGTGTTTCTCCTAACACTCCTTTCTCTACCCCTCTTCCCACCTGCCAAGCTCCATCCCGCCGGGTCCGAACAAGGGAGCGCCGCTGGACGCGGCCGCTTCCCCGCCGGGAAGGACCGTGTGGATGCCGAGCCCCGGCCCGGGGCCCTGCTCTACTCACCGGCCGCCGGCAGCAGCAGCAGCAGCAGGAGCGGGGGCAGCGGCGCCATGGGCAGCGACGGGCGGGGGTGCGGGTCCGGGCAGCGGCGCTGTGCTCGGCAGCGGAGTGTGTAGGTGTGAGCCGCAGCCCGGCGTGCCGGCTATAAAAGGCTGCTTTCTGCCCCGAGCCGGGTCCCCCGGAGCCCAAGTCCAAGCTGTGCTGTCCATCTGGCCAGAAGGGAGGAGCTGCCGCTGGAAGAGCCGGCGAGAGCCGGGACCTGTCACTCGGGCAGCGGAGCGCGGTGCGGGCACAGGGGGTCACACGCCGCAGCTCTCTGATGGGGGCCGCCTCTCCGCTCCTCCACACCTTCCTGCTCTGGCAGCTGTATTTTCTTTTTGAATTACAGCAGTTCGTAGGTAATTTAATCCAGATCTAGAAGAGGAAAGCAGGAACTGTGTTGTAAGTTAGTCTGGTGGTTAATTATAACCAGTGCTGAAGACGTGCTTTATCTGAGTCTGCATCAGCCAGACTTCATCTACTGATTGCTCCTTTCCTTGGATGACTAAAGGACAACCAACTCCTAAACTGGTTACGGATATTTGTAGCTTGATAAAAACTTTTTAATTGTACCTCAAACAAATAAACTCTCAAAGTGAGTAATTTTTTGTACATTGCATATTTGTATATTTTCCCCTTTCCAACTCTTGTATTATTTTGCAAAACATACAACTAGGTGTCTTATTACAATCAGTTTCATTGCTTCTCTCAACACACAGACAATACTACTTGCTTTTATGTGATTTTTTTTCTGTATTCATACTTTCCAAGTGTTTCTTCAGACCTTTTATTATTGCACTGAAACCAGTGCATTTCCTGTCAGTTGTTCAAGCAATCAGGAGCCCTGAAATTTAGAGTATTAATTATGTGTGCATGTGTTTTGTCTTGTGGTGCTCATACTTTTTCTTCTTTCTTTTGGCATTATTATATTCCAGGATATTACCCCCATAGGATCCCATTGAGGCCTACACTCAATGCTAGGATATGGAAAGAGAAATAAAACTAGTTCTATTTATGGAACTTACAAATAATTTTTTATTTGTCATGTCATCTTACTATTGGAGAGAAGCTGGTAGTTTGGTGGGGGGTTTTTGTGAATGGTATTCTCATCAAAGAAATAAAATCATTTTTTCATGCACATACTGAGGAATAATTGTATTTTTGCATTAAAATGCTCTGATTTCTGTGTTATAACATTTGTCTTTATTCAGGAGAGGTAGAAAATCATATGTGATATGATTCCAAGAGACAAAAAACATGTACAGACAGATTTGTTTTTGTTATGCTCTCATTAATCCAAGCTCTCTGAAATGTTTGTCTTGGCACTGAAGTTAGGGGAGCATGGGATAAATGTGAAACGTTGATTGGAGGCAGGATATTGATATGCCATTGTACACCTGGTGGGCCTTTGTGCAACTCCCTGCAGAGCACCAGGCAAGGTGTGGCAGCTCAGCCAGGACTGTGCATGGCACTTTGCAAGGCAGAGGGTGCCTGTGGGAACTCCACACAGCAGAAATGAGCAGGGTTCCCACCAGAGTGCTGGTGTTCTGCAGAGAGGGGAAGGTTGCTGGAGGCTTCCTGTGAAGCCCTGATGGCTGCAGTATCAAGCAGCTGCAGGTGAGGTGTGCTGGGACAATGCTGCCAGCCTGTCCCTCTCCTTCCACCCCTATGCATGGCTCTGGCCAGCATGGGGAGCACAATTGCCCCAACACAGCTGGAGTGGAATACGAGTGAAGTGGCTTGTGTGGCAACCAGAAAGGCTGCTTGTGACCCTTATATGTGTTGGCAGAAAACTCATCTATTGGGGATTTTTTATTTTTTTTACATTTTTTTAAAGATTTTGTTGCTATTGCCATCAACTGGGTCAGGACAATTTTCCTATTACTCATGGAGTCACATCGCTAATTACTGTTACTCTGGTCTCGTACTGTCACTTATACTTCATTTGTTTACCGACTCTTCCGGTCAATAAGTCACACCTATTAGAACACTTTAATGGTGTCCGAGAGCTGCTTAATGAAACTTCCACTTGAACACTATCCCATTCAGCATACCATTGCATATGACAATGAAAACAGTATCCAAGGGAGCAAGATGAATTACATTTCATGTTGTTCTTCAGGATGCTGACTGATGCAATGCGTTAGTGCAGCTGATATGTTTTTCTCTGAAGAAAGGAAAGTAACCTTATAACCACTGAAAAATCAAATGAGACTGAAATGCTCAGATGACAGCTGCTTCTATCAGAAAGTACACAAAGATGTGTGGGGACAGAAACTGTATATAGTGATGAAATAAGGAATGCAAGCCATGAGTTCTGATTCCTGTGAGTATAGTAAAAGTTCAAAGGAGAACATCCAGTGAAATTGGTGAGAGGGGAGGAAATCTGATAGAAGGAAATACTTTTATTGAGGCAGAGCTAGATTGTCCAGTTTATTGCCAGGCATATGGCTAAGAAAATATACCAGTAACAGACTGGAAGTTCCTATGGATTACAATGATGGAGTCATGTTTTTAAAATTAGATTTGGTTCAGTTTAAATTTCTTAATTAAAAACTTATGTAGCAGTGTAGACCTGTCATTTCTTTTTGTAGTGTTTCTTCTCTTCTATTTGAAGCACTTGGAAACTGGCCTAAGTCCTATGTGACAAATGGCATTTTCCCTCTTACTAATGAATTCTTTCTGTCTGTCAACTGAAGCTGTGCAGGGGTGGGGAGAAGCATTTGCTTTTCAAATGTACTTTCTCAAAAAAGGCTGCATGTGCCTTATGATTGCTTTAATTGTTTTTAAATCTGAGAAATAGATTAGTATAATTGAGACACATGGCTGTACTGAGGAACACTGTCACAGCATAATACTGTTATTGGGAAACTTGTTAAATGAGTTCTAAAAGCCTCCTTTCTCAGAGTCTGGGATTATGTACATGCAGGAAAATGGCAGGCTATAATAACCCAAAATGTTAAAATGTTTATGGAAAGTGCTAGAATGGTCTAAAATATAGTTAATATAAGTGCAAGTTATCCACTACCCTGTGATCAGGTGAAGGTAGTGATCTTCAGTGTAACAGTAGATTTACTGCTGACTTAACAGCTGAAAAGCTGTATTTTTGTAGAAATAATAGCTCCATTAAAATTTGTATTTAGTAACAGCAGTTATTTTTCCTGAGAAATGAAAAAGCATGGCACCTACCTTGGTCAAATTTACAAATACTCTGCATTTAACTTGTTGTGAACCAATGTAGTGTTGCTGCTGCTGAGTACAGAAGTACTAGGGTCTGTAGATGTCTAAGCAAAGTCCTAAAAAATGCCTACAGCATTAAGCATCTGGCATTTAAGCCATATGGCATACCTGCTGCCTCACTGAATTAATGAACTAATAAAGAATGGTGAAAGAAATTATTTTCCCTGTGTTAGAGATGGGAATGGAGGCAGGGTGATTTACTTAAGGTGCTTATGATGGCTGTAGCAGAGCTGGAAAACAGGAACTTCATGTTTTGCATCCCAGGTTAAGTCCCAGATTGGGTTCTTCTGTGGCACTGTCTCCTGGAGGAAAATAAGGAAAGAAGCACGTGCTTTACTGTGAGGGTATCAGAATAATTAGAACTGAAGAGTTGTTTCCCAGCAGTTAAGTCAAATGACTGTGTTTACTTGTTGCTACACTTGGTAAATGTCTCTGAGTTATCCCACATCTTCTTAAACATTGGATTGGGATATAGGTTTTGCCTGGAATATATCCTTTACAAGTGCATGTTCCTTCAGATACTGAATGTCCACGTAGTACACAACTTCTTTATCATTGTTGTCTTCATAAAAATACCAAAGCAAACAGCCTTAATTATCTGAGTGTTTGGAAACATTCAGTGCCTTTGTTCCCATTTTTGGAGGTTTGGCTGGGTTTCCTCACTTTCATGTCCTTCCATCTTCTCTTAGCTCCTTTTCACAACCAGTGCTTCCTGTTTACTAGTATTTTCTTCAGCTCATGCTGTTGGGAGATGTTTTCCCAAAGTGTACAAGAGTTATAAAGCCAAGTTTGGAGAGACAACCTCCATGTGGAAGATTAGAAAACATTCTGCTAAGCCAGTTTATAGTATTTTGCAATGTACATGTATTATCTCAAATAATAGTAAGTTCTAGCATACACCACAAAATCTAGCTTTAAAACTCTACCAGCCTATAGCATAACTTGTAAAGTCTCTGGTAATAGTAAGTCTCTGAGTAGCACAATATGTCCCAAGAGAATTTTGGGGGTCATGTCTGTAGCATTGTCCTTTCCTGCCCTTTAGGAGCAACGTTACTCTCTCCATGCTGCAAAAACACCATGTAGTGTGTCACTGCCCATAACAGACAGTTGTGTGCTGGAAAGGTTGTTATTACAGAAATGTTCTTGAAACTGCTATTATGTCTGCAGAAGAGCTGAATTACTCCTACAGTTTTCTTTTCTCTTCCTTCTAGTTTTGTTTTTTTTCCTGATCCCCATTCTCCCCTCTGCTCCTCTAGTACAACAGCTGCTAGCACAGATCCATTCCATCCACACAACCACCCAGGCAGGCAGTGAGATTGCAAGAACGTCCTCAGAGCACCACATATTTACCAATGCAGTTCTGTCCATTTTTATGGCATGGAAATATATTGCCTATCTTTGAGCAAAGGCACACACTGGAGATGCTGGGGGAAGACTCTATAAATAACTTGCAGCTTGCTTAGCTCTTAGGTTCTGACAGTCATCTCTGCCTTCCAGATTTGCACTCTCTAAGTCAAGTTCTACGTTCGACATTTGCATCCAAAAAAAGACTCATGGCCTGCTTCTTGTGGAACCCAGGGCTACATCTTCTTTTTATATCTTGAGAAAAAAAAGACTTGGCAATGCCGTGTGTGCATGTTTCTAAAACAAAATTTGAACTCTCTGAAAGGATATTTGACTTGCTTTCTTTATATAGGTTACATCACCTTGGATTCTTGAAATGGCTGATGTAATGACCAGGATGATGGGATAGAATGACCTCTCAGCACATTTGTGGGTGATACCAAATTGGGGGGAGTGGCTGATACACTGCAAGGCAGGGTGGTACTCAGACAGACCTAGTCAGACTGGAAAAATGAGCTCTTGGGGACCTCATGAAGTTCAACGAAAACAAATGCAAAGCCCTGCAACTGGGTTGGCACAACCCCCCAAGTGGGACAGGCTGGGAACTGACTGGATAGAGAACAGCTTTGTGGAAAAGGAGCTGAGGGTTGTGGTGGACAAACTGAATGTGAGTCAGCTGTGTGCTCTTGGAGCTAATGTGCCCAGCTGCCAAGTGGGCTCAGTACCACCAGTAGGTTTGGAGGGAACTGATTCTTCCCCTCCATCTGACACTTGTCACATCACATCTGGAGCTCTGTGTCTCATTTTAAGAAAGCCATTGACACACTAAAGCAAGACTACCACACTGCTCAGGCAGCTGCAGTTCATGACATCCAAGAAGATGAGAGAGCTGGATTTGCCCAGGTTTAAAGAAGATGGTGAGTGGAGATCATCGTACTGTGGAGCACTTTGTAAAGGAAGGGTGTACAAGAGATGCAACCACATTTTTCCCAGAGGTGCTCAAGAAGCAACGAGCACAACCTACAGCAATTCAATATAGGAAACTTTTTTAAGGATCAAATACTGAAACAATTTTCCCTGAAAGGCTACGGCAACTCCATCCTTCCAGATATACATAACTCAATTCAACATGACTGAAGGCAACCTGCTTTAATGGGACCTGCCACGAGGAGAAAGCTGGACTAGAAAACTTGTAGAAGTCCCTTGCCACATACATGATTCTGATATTGTGATGTGATAGCAGATATCTTCAAATTAGCAGTTCCACCCTGCCAGAGAAGGAGACTCCAATATCACTTCCTTTTGCCTAAAGGTTTTTATGAAACCATGGCCTGTAGGCAGGGAAGGCAGTAGGCCTGTTCTGCAATAACAAATTAATTGCTAATAATTTTTTCCATATATCACCAAGTAAAATATGCAAATGCACTGAGGAAATCATCTGTGCTGAATTCAAAGAGACTTAAGATTTTGCCTGCTTTTATTATCTAGGCAGCTTTGTCACAAACAGAAGCAGTGCCCTTTTCATACTTGCCTACCATTTTCACTCACTGTTATGAAATCCCATTTCTATGCCTTTGTCCTTGTTGACCATTTCTGAATTTTCTTCCAGTTCTATTTTTAATGAGACTGGGGGGAGGCTGCAGAATTGAATGCAGTATCCAGGGTGGAGGCAGAACATGCATTTATAGAGATTACATTATAGAGACTATATTTCATTTAAGAGAGAAGAAAAATGAATTCACAGTTCTGTGTAACTTTTACCGTGTCTGCTGGCTTTTTCATTGTCTCTAAATGTTTTTAAATGCTTGAAAACAAAATGAAGATATTTTCATTACCTGTTTATTTGTTCACTTCTTAGTTGTTGTGTTGTTCACCCTCTCAACAGTGAACACCCTATTGGTCTGGTCTGCTTGTCTTGCAGCTTTCTTTCAGGAGCATCTGTGCAGTTTTATGGTAACTGAACCCATCAGGATAAAATCCCTAAATAATGTGTCCATCAAAGGAAAGGTGAACAGAATGTAGCCCTTGATTGTTCTAGGCTAATCTGCACAAGAGCCCTCTGTCTTTAAACACCATCCAGACTGCTTTGGGAACTGGGAAGTTACTAAATTTCTTGTTGAGGGTCAAAAAATCCCTAGAAGTACTGAGGGGTAGGGAACACGGGGATTAGCTAGAGAATTTAGGAGTAGGAAAAAAGTGAGTATAGGAAAACCCATATCTTAAGACATGTAAGATCAAAAAGGTGCTGAATAGTCCTGAAGAACTGAGTATGTGTAACTTGTCAACTAGGTTCTGAATTTCTCATCTCCAGGTCTCTGAAATTAAGTCCTACTTTTATTCTTTGCTTTTGCAGAGTGGCTGGGATGAGGAGTAATTGAACCAGAGAACTGTCAGCACTAAGACCATGATTTGCTATATCTGAAATAAACCAGATACTTCAAATCAGCCACAAGATGCAAGAGTCATTTGCTGAGAGCATGCAGAGTGCCAGTGCACAAGAGGAAGGTTGATGTTCAATAAAATGTTGTTTAGGCACCAGGAACTGCTTGATTTTCAGAGAGAAGTGGGGACTCAGTATTGCGTTGGAAGGCAACAAATGCCATGGGTACTATACAATATAAACAAATTAGAACTATTTATATAACCTATAATTATAAAGAGTTAGGCTTATGCTTCTTTGGAGTATCAATTACTGTCTTAAGAATACATATTCCTAAAACAAAGAAAGATTTTATAATTCTATAGACTTTGTATTTCCTTTAAAAAGATCAGTCATGGACAAAAGAAGACATATTCAGGACACTTACGAGCAAAAGACTTGTAGACTCATTGCCACAAAGAGCTAAGGAAACAGTGGAATGTGAAGGAAGTTGCTGAATTGAAATCCCAGTACCTTCTACATGTTACAGTGCTCAGGGAAGATGATATTTAACTCTTACAGAGTTCAATGAATTTTCAAAGACAAATAGAACTGTTGCATAATTTCCATAGTACAGATTGAAAACTAGCACACCAAGGGTTTGGGAGTCTTCAGACTTGGTCATTCTTTTTGATTTTATTTAAATACAAGGAGGATGATCAGCTGGTGACTGAGCACCAGAACAGATTGCCCAGAGTGATTGTAGAATTTCCCTCACTGGAGATATTCCAGAACCAGCTGGATGCAGTCCTGTGCCATGTGCTCCAGGATGACCCTGTTTGAGCAGGGGAGTTGGACTGGATGGCCCACTGCAGTCCCCTCCAACCTTACCCATTCTCTGACCTAATCCAAATACGTAAATTGCTTCCTTGGTTCAATATAAAAGAAATTCCTCATGGTGATACTGTATTTACAGAATTTCATTGTGAGCCATCTAGAAAAACTCTTATCTACAGATCCTGTGACTAATAAAGTTCATACCAACCTAAACAAGTAGAGCTGCACTCTTAAATAACATGTATGAAGACTATTGTTCCTACATATAAAGGAGAAAAGGTTTTAATTGCATATGAAATGCCATCATAAAATGAAAAGACCAAATGCCATGAAATGGCAATATACCAAATACCAAATGCCTCCTTGCATTTACTATACAGAACAAGGGAGTTTGCTGTACTGTGTGTACCAGGCCTTGCTAACTGGCATCAGGATGTGCAAGACAGAAAGGAAAAAAGGGAGTGAGGAACCAGTCTCAGCAAAGCTTAAAAATGAGGTTTTTTTTTATCTTCAGCTGCTAGGGGTGTGAATCTTACTAAACAGATTTAAATTCTTCTGAGTACTTATCCTACAATACATGTATGTAGCATCCAATCAAGGGTGATCTCAAACCAGCAGTCAAAAAGTGACTGTTGGTTTTACAAAGTAAAGTAGCTCATTCCTCTGACTCATTCTTTGGTAGCTTTCTAGTTTCAGGTCTAGGTTATAGCCTTCACTGATTAACCTTTTAAATAAACAGACATTTTCTCAAATAGCCATATT